GAAATTAAACTCCCATCATCATGTCTAATTCCCGAATGAGTCGTCGCCAGGAATACCTCAATGCAGAACGAGGTGTCGAAGGCGGTATATTGATCGTCGTGGCACGACATGTCACCGTTCTAGTCAAGAGCCTGACCAACCTCAACTAGTGGCAACCCCCTACCTGCGTGCGTACCAGGAACGAGACAATGTGGGAGAATGTGTAGCTTGCAGCGACTCGTTGTCTGGCCCGTCTTCGGAGAGTGTCAGGTCATCATCAATTGATCAGTAGTCACGACAGCGGCCTCATTCTGCAGCGAAGGGTAATAATAATCCAGAACAATAAGGTTCGGGACAACGATCATCTGTAATTCAGAACAACAATGAACCGCGCAGCACTCAACCACGCCGTCCACTAGCGCCCACACCACGGACTAAGATATGTCTCACAAGAATCTGATACTCAGTCATCCTTCGGTGATCTCTTATCACTCCAAAACCTTGTACACGAGCAGGCGTGCGCTAAGCAGAATCCTCAGGGAGAGGAAGCGTTGAGGAACCTACACGACCGCTTGGGCACGAACCTACGCAGGAAGCAGTGACGCCAGAATCCCGAACGCGATTCAGCCGATAAGGTTGTACCTACACCACAGAAGCAAGTCAAGGAAATAACGTGCTTCCACCTACACCAGCAGTATTGAGAAGAGTCGTCAAGTACTACATGCCCGCATACTTAAGCCCAGCGACGAGCTATATCAGGCAACGGAAGACAACAACGGAGGACAACAATACAGTACGAGCAGACGCTCTACGCAGGTCACTAAAGACACTTCGAGCTACACTCGAATCCAAGCCAGTCAAGAAACGTCCCGTACCTTCGCCGCGCACCTGGCCCGACTATCCGTCCAATAGGTACCACCTGAACGATATCATGGAACGTGATACGAAGAGTGTTCTTCTAGAAGCATTTAAGAATGCACATATTGCAGGACTGGATGAAAGTTGGAGATTCACATGGTTTCAAAAGGTGTTAACTACTTTAAAGCGGAACAATCAACACTGAATTATATACGGGACAACGCAGAACGTTGAAAGGCTTGGACTCCGCAGTTGCAGATAGAACAGATCTGTTTGCACGAAACGCAAGCTACGGTCGATCCCGCATTCCGCAAACTGACCAAGGGTCAAACTAGGAACATGCAGGTATCCATCACGGAAGAAATGACTTAGCTGGTGGGGAACCATAGGGCAAGGGACCGATGCCAGTGTGACGCTGACTACAAGCAAACCTATTGAACCACTGTCTGGTACAATTACTCGAAATGCGCTCGGGGGCGGACGTACGAACGTACACGACAGCTGCATTCACAATAGCAGTTGATGGAGACACATGAGCTACTCCAACTCTTGAGCCCCGACATACAAGAGGCACAACAAGGTACGACAAAATGTTTGCAGAACCGTGCGAGGAGAGACACGATATCTCGTACGGCTCGTTTGTGTATAAATAGCCGCGCAAATGCTCCAACCACATGACGTCAAGACCAGAACTGGTCACAACGTTCACAGACAGCAACGCCTACGACGTGTGCCGGCTGTCAGGGACAGGCACCATCCGGCACAAGACATATATAGCATTCTGCCACCATCATCGCGCGCCTACACAGGGCGGTCACGTTAACCGCGTACACCAGAACGAGCAAGGACGTACAGAGGCACAACCGGCGCATTGTCCAGCAACTACGTTCACAACAAGACAAAGCCAAAACAACAGTACCGCCAGGCAGTTTTCAACTCACCAGTCGTTGTCACAACCACAAGTGAACACAGTCACGCAGGAAGTGGACTTTGAACCTATCCCTGCAGCAACCAACGTAACCCGAGGACCAGTACAGAACGACACACAGGGCGCTTGGACATGTCTGAGGACAATCGAGGGGGGAGGGTATCTGAGTCAGATGTCAGCCTGACAATTGTATAAAACACTATCGATGCAGTTATGGGCATACAGGACCCATTGTTGACATATGATAACCGAGTCCATACGCACATTCAGAGCGTTGATAGCCACGGGAGCGAACAGAAGTTGCATCTCACAGACATCCGCAGACCTTCAATGAAGGATTTGGTTATCACGAAACGAACAACCCCAACAACCACTATGAAGGTTCCTGTGCTTGCCGTGCCCACGTTTGAAAAGAAGGTACGGATGTGTTTAGATAAGCATGCAGTAAACGCATTGATTCCCGGCGACCAATTCTTAATCCCGAAGGTCAACGAACTGATCTCACAGCTGAAGAGCAACGAGTACTATACAACGCTGGATATTTCCGCAGCTTATCACAGGCTACCGATACATCCAGACTCCCAGTACTTATTCAGCTTCACCCATGAGCGTTACCAATACTTATTCACATCAGTACCGTTCAGCCTACACGTATTCACACAACAATTTCAACGCACACTTAGTAAAATACTTGACGGCCTGCCCGTTCATCACTATATCGACGACATCGTTATGGCGAGTGATGATTACGATGAGCAAATCAAGACAGTACGAGAGGCTATTAGACTTTAAGCTTAACCCCGCTAAGTGCCACTTTGCAATTGTGTAAGTTTCGGTCTCTTCAGGCGATATTAACGTCTTAGAGTAGTTAAACGTAATAAAGTCTTCTAAAGCTCAAATGAAATTAAAGCAAAATAAACGTAATTAGTCTTTTAGTAAAGTTAGGTTTGCCTCGTGAAAACAGCAATACTCTGAGGAATTGTGAGGCTGAGACATTGCTTATATAATCCTCTCAGTACTGTTTTCGCCGAAGGGATTTTATTTAGTGTTTCGTTGTCGCTCTATTAGAAACTATGGTATGTTTTGTTAAGGCGAATCCGAGAGACTCATAAAATCCTATCTTTTAAAAAATAAAATAAAAAAGTACTCTTGATGTCCATAGGTATTGCATTAACCAATAACTTGTCACTTGTCAAGAATTACCGACTTAGCCTTCATCAGTCTGGCACATCTGGTTGGCTGAACGGAGGATAAACTAAGCAACGCTAATAGTCCTTAGAAACCTATGTTCGGTTGAGCCATCTCGCTACCGAAGTATTCAGATATAAATAGATTTGAAAAGTAAATATAGTTCGATAAACTAAGCAACGCTAATAGTCCTTAGAAACCTATGTTCGGTTGAGCCATCTCGCTACCGAAGTATTCAGACATAAAATAGATTTGAAAAGTAAATATAGTTCTATTAATAGAACTAGACCAAATCTTATGTTTGGTATTTTACTGGGGCCTTTTAATGGCCTTGTCCAAATATCTGATATGTAAAAACAAATGGAAAAGGTATTAATTAATAGAACCGTTGAAACCCGTTTAGGAAACTTAAGTTCCTTGTACTATTAAGAATACGTTTATAGTTTACGTACTGCTTAAAAGTACGTTTATAACATAGAGTCTAATGTGGCAAAAACCGAACGAAGTGATCGGTGACCAATGGGTCGACGGAAAATAACATTACTTTGTAATATTTTTTCAGTAACACGTTGAACCATACGCAGCAAAACTATTCAAAACAGATGAAAGAGAGTTAGCACTGGTGTATGGATTGACAACGCACTTCAGAAGACGGTCAACGGTTTGCAATCTTCACGGACCATAAAGCTTTGGTATACATGAATACTCAGCTTAAACTCACTCCGATGCTGAAGCTGTGGCGACATATCATCGCACCATTTAAATTTACCATATCACACATACGTGGGGAGAAGTATGCATTACCTGACATGTTGAGTAGGGTGCATGGAGATACCGCGGAGAGCAACAAACCCGAAATATTGTATACGGACTGTTGGCAGCTATTCTTCAACTATTTCGACCAAGCTCAACAACATACGCTTCGGACCGAATGATATAGACGTATTCGTGGATCCAACAAACGTTTAGCTACCTTGGTTCTGGTCAAAGGATAAAGGGTGAAGAAGCCTTCGCGCACGACTGGACCATGGTAGATGGGTGGATGAACCCGCCATGGGAGAAGATACACAAGACGCTGCGAACGATATAAGCAGACAGGACAAGGGTAACAGTATGATTTCCCTGGTTACCGAGAGTGCCGTGGTTTGACTTGTTCAAGCAGCTGCTACAGTCAGAATCAGTGTTGACGCCGCGAACACCGCATACGTTTCCGAAGTATGATAAATACACATGGAATTAGATGCCATGGGATAGGGACACACCGCGGCATCACAAAGAGTAGATTCAGCCATCGGCTACGAGACTAGACATACTTTAACAACGACTCGGTGAATGCAGTCACGGCATACCACACACGTCATAGCGGTCGCGATGGCAGAAGCAGAGAGCCAGCCAGCATTTACACACGCAACACCGGACGAAGGTCTGGTTGGAATATCCCAGTAGGGGGGTTTTTTTAGCGTTTATTTGCAGTGGGTTCTAAAGCCTGGGTTATCAATCATGATTTAAGGTCGATGACACATGCAAATATTAACCGTTCAATTTTTAAAAGGATTAATAATGAAATATCAGAACACTAGGAGAGAAGGTCGAGATATAGTTATCGCTAGCGTAAATTTACTACAACCGCTTATTCTCACACATAAAAAAGTTTTGTTTTAATGTGTATATCAAGAATATACGAATCAGTTGGCAGAATAAAAACCAGGGTAAATTGATTTACAATCCTTATATATTGGTTGTTGAACATGGGACCGTACTAGTACGGAGGAGTGGCCAGATTGAAGACTTAGATGAACTGTAAATAATTCATGCTTTCTTTATTTTAACCGCCATTGTTTCTGCAAAAAATATTATCAACATACTTATTAGCAAATTGATAAAAATTCTACACAGTCTAGCTGTAAATACCACGAGTATCAGAAGTTAGGCACATATAACATATAAATTGGCGAAGAAAGCGGTATTGACGGATAGCCACGAGAAGAAACAAGCAAGTACAGACAGCACTATCTGTTTTCAGCAAATCCTGCAAGCAGTATTGGCTCTTGAAGATTGTATTGTACTACACCAGCACGTCCAGAGTCAAATAACAGAATGATATTTGGTGACCTTACTAGTGCAAATATTGGTATAACTACACTACGGGTGTTCATGAATATGCGCTGTGTATCTCAACTAGAATATCAGCCTCTGCTAACTGTATTTTAATTTGGTAGACGTAGATAATCACATAGGACATATTGCATTCATACCATTACTGAAGACTCTTGTGAATATTTGAGCAAAAAATATGATCAAATGCATGAATTGACAGCACGTATATATAAGAACTTATTACAACGGTTGTACTGTAAATTACTATGATATTTTGATAGATAAGGATATATGTAGACATATATATGAGGCTCGAATAATTAATGATTTTTAATCATTGTTTTCATCCGCTGTAAATTTGACCTTCCTTTTCCAACATCGGTGTATTAGGAGCTGTGATCGCAGTGTGTACAGATAAGATCACTCAAGAGCGGATCGTGCTGTGTGTGCGGACTGAGATCGATGTGAAGTGTTCGTGATACAACTTTCCCGGTTTGTAATGAATTAAAAGAATGACTGATCCACCCAATCTCGTACTATGTTTTATTTTAGCTACTATGTGCTTTCAATTCTTAGTAGTAAATTTGAAATATACGTCCCATCTACGAGCGCAAGTAACATAACTCATCAACACCTATTATTTTAGGGTAAGTTGCTTGTCTTGAATATAATTATGCGAACTGAAGACGGCTAACAAGTGCAACTGATGCATGGGATTCACGACAACACATCGAATTAATATTTTCTCTCGCCAAGATGATTCTCTGTATTTCATCTACACAGTTAATTCCTGCTATACTCTCTACGATCATTTTAAACCGGTTACGAGTCAGTTTGAACAAGTATACATAGGGTACACAAAACAGCGACTATGAGAGCCATACCATATGTTGATACATTGTATCATACATACTTGCCATTTTTGAAATATATATTATTATCCCTAACAAACTTAAAACAGAGTATGTATGTATTGTTGAAGCGGGGTATGTGTTTTGCGTGTTCTCATCCGGTTTGAAAAGTGAAAGTTCTATGTATTATAGTCCCGCTTTTGTTCATGTTCGATATTTACTTTTGTATAACGAGGTATAAAAATATGTATTTACTGTCTTCCGAGTTTCATGATTCATCACTTTATTTATATATTTTTTTCAATTTTGTTCCTCATCAAGAAGTCACCATCATCACGATTGTCATCATGATGATGCGTAAAAATAAATATATAGCCCCCTCTAGAAATAAAAAGAAGACTTAAAAAAACCCCCCTGAAAAGATTATATGTACTCATAAACTGAGTTTTCGTGGTTTTAAAATATATATTTCAAAAAATATAATATATACATCCTCAGACCCCTGTGTGGTGTCTTATTTCATTTATAAATATGATTTCCAGGATGTATTTAAAATATCTACAGTCGATCCTAGTAGCGATCTATTCTCAATCGTCGAATTTAGGACATCAATAATCTAAAATTTACGACCACTAAAGCAAAGTGCCCTACCTTATTTGGAATACCAAAATAGAAAATATGTAGACGTAAGGGGTCCCATTTCCACAGACGTATATTGTTTTCTTTCACATAATTGAAAAATAACACTAACACTTGCTAATAGTCACACGCGCACACATTGACATCACACGATATAGGTATAGGTATTCCTCATTGACACTAGCCACAGATAGCTTCTTTCACAATGGTATGTATGCTACAACATTCGATTTTCAAACAGCATAATTACTTTGGAAAATGAGTGTTCAATAGGAGGGCTCTAAACGGAGAGTAGTGTGCGACCTGTGTATTCAATATAGCAGCTGATGTAGTATTGCCGTCACTTTCAGTCGTCCTGCAGTATTTGAGACCTAGTTGAGAGTCTGGTCTAGTCAGCTTGGAATACAATGATATGTGTTGAGTAGTATCGACTACCACATAAGAAGCATCAACTGCCGACGTGTGCATATTGTGTTGATATGTTGTGTATCAGTATTGCCAACTCCTCAATGCTAAGCGGTTGCGTTGGAACAGTATATAACGCATATAATCGGGTGATATTGAATTAATAATAATACAAGGTCTTTCAAAAGTGCTATCACAAATTGCAGGTGCAACAGTTAACACCGAAACACAATATTGGTATTATAGGATAAGATTTCGTCAAGTGAAGATGAGAAACTCTTCGGAGCCGTCTTCTCTGTGTCCGGCCCCGTTGTGGTCGCAGATGGCATGACAGGTGCTGCCATGTACGAATTGGTATGTAGTAGTATGTACTAGAAAGTTCTTTTGTATGTTGCGACTTCTCATGTGCATTTGAACTATAATGTTTTCATACATATATCTGTTCGAAAGATGTGCTTGGATACCCTTACTTTTGGTGCGTGTCCACAACAGAATCTGAGTATATACCCGAGTTTATAAAACATATAATATATTAATATTGACTACTCTAGGTGCGTGTAGGTCACCAAGAGCTGGTAGGTGAGATCATTCGTCTCGAAGCCGACACAGCTACCATCCAGGTATACGAGGAAACCTCGGGTGTCACTGTAGGTGATCCCGTATTACGTACCGGAAAGCCCTTGTCATGTGAGCTTGGACCAGGAATCATGGACAATATATACGATGGTATCCAGCGTCCTCTGGAGACCATTGCTACCCAAACAGACACCATTTATATCCCTCGTGGTGTAAACACAAATGCCCTAGATCGCGAGAAAATTTGGCACTTTGTACCCTCAGGTACGTATTGTAATACATATGACCAGTTGAAAACTCGCACATGTATGCAAAATTTAAATTGGCATATGAATTTATCAAAATATTCACACACCCTCGCATGTATAGTTACTTGTACGAACACGAACGATTGATATATATATCTTAATGTATAAACATATCATACATATTATATATATATATATATATATATACGAACGATTGATATATATATATCTTAATGTATATACATATACATACATACAAGTATGTATATATAACAATATATATATATATCTATATATATGTATGGTACATATAATTATATATATATGTATATATATATATATACATATATATATGTATGGTATTAATATATCTATCTATACATTTATATATATATGCAAATATATATATATAGATATATGCGTATAGGTATAAATAGATATATATATTTAGTTATATAAATAAATATATATTTTTAGTTATATAAATAAATATATATTTTTAGTTATATAAATAAATATATATATTTAGTTATATATATGCATATATTATATTTATATATCTATATATATATGTGTATATATAGTGATATACATAAATGAATATATGCATATATATATACATATTCACATACACGCACGCACACATACATATATATATATATGCATATATATATTTGATATACTTATGTATATATACTATTGTATATATGTATTTTATAATTAATAATATATATGTAAATATATATATATATATATATACTAATATAACTAAGAATGTATACGGGAATACATACGTGCATACATATATATTAATAGTAGGCAAATATTTGTATCTATAATTATTGATTTATGATATACATGTATAAATATCTGTATATCTATATATACATATTTATAAATATGTATATATATCTGTATTTAGAAATACATATCTATCTATATACATTATACGCACGCACACAAACACACACATGTATATGTATATATATATACAACCACACACACACATATACATGTATATATATATATATGTGTGTGTATATGTGCATGCATAAATATCTGTATATATATTGATATATGCATATATATATATATATTATAAAACAGGATAAATATATATATATAGATATGCATGAAACAAAGGATATATATATATATATGAACATATATATTTATATATGAACATATGTAAATATACACACGCGCACACACACACTTATATATATACATACATATGTATATTTTTATATATATTTCTATACATATATACATGCTTATATATACATATCATGACGTGTCACACACACAGACACATATATATGTATATTTTATACTTATTCGTATTCATAATTATATTTATATGAATGACACTGTATGGATAAGTTGTTAGTGGGGGTATGTTTATATCATTTTGCTTTATATACACACATCCAAAGGAATGTTGGGATTCAGGGATGAAACTCGTACTTCTGAATGTTGTTGATGTTTATATGTTCGCTCTGATCCATAGAATACGTCTGTGACGCCACACTTTTATCTGCTCTTCACAAAATTAGAATGCATGCATTTGCATGTGAGCATGCTGCTTGTGTTTACGCCAGCCGGGAGCACACGTATCCTACCTTATCAACAGCTTGTGACGTGATTGCACATCAACCTGTGTACGGAGAAGTACTTAATCGCCTCTAGGTTTGTTTTTGCGCGCGCGTGTAGATCAAGTGATTTGACATTGTTCACTACCATTTGATCTTTGCGTATCTACTGTGCCCCGGGTGGCCTATCTCGCACTCGCACAAACTTTTAGCCTCGCCATCATCCTGGTAATGAGTGGTTTTATCCATCCCTTGTCATGTATACGAAGCTCTGTCCGAAGCTGCGAATCACTTCCGTTTGTGTCTATAACGTCCTATACATTATCGTTTCGAAGGTAATTCAATGACCTACAACGATAACGGCAAAGTTGAGTGTAGAGCAATATATCTGTCCCATTTGTAGCCACACCAGCAACCAATGGGGCTTGTACTCCGCCAATAGTGTACCAGATATAACTCCAGTGTCTTGTCGAGGTTGTGCTGTGTATGTATCTGAGTCACGACCCGCTCGAGGAATATATGTCTGACCACCAATAGAGACAGACACAAATGACGTACTGTGTAGAGCTCAAGTCCCCACCAACTCGAGCCAACTCAGGCTAATACACACGTGGTATCGTCGCTGCTATACAATTCGCACTGGGTTTTGGGTGTGCGTGCGAGGCTCTGCTTAGTTGACCTGCAGTCTCCTCCATTCTGACTATCAACCCCTCACCACCGTACTAAACGTCACACCCTTGCGGATCACCCCTTTCTTGGACTACAGGCGTTAAAGCAGGCGATCACGTGACTGGTGGAGATGTCATTGGTACCGTACAGGAGAACACTCTGGTCCTGCACAAGATCATCGTACCTCCCCGTGCCAAGGGTACCATCTCATTCGTGGCACCTGAGGGTGACTACAATTTGACCGAGACGGTTATGGAGGTCGATTTCAACAAGAAGACACACAAGTTCCAGATGTTCCAGGTAAGGGTTGGGCACGGGGATAGGATGATATCAATAGGTGTTGTAGGCGTGGATATGATGATATGGATAGGTTATAGGTTGGTGATATCAATTGGTGTTATAGGCGTGGATAGGTTGATATCAATAGGTGTTATAGACGTGGATATGTTGATATGAATAGATGTTATAGGCGTGGGTAGGTTGAAAAGAATAGGTGTTATAGGCGTGGGTAGGTTGATATCAATAGGTGTTGTAGGCGTGGATAGGTTGATATCAATAGGTGTTGTAGGCGTGGATAGGTTGATATCAATAGGTGTTGTAGGCGTGGATAGGTTGATATC